AAATCGATATTGGGTACACCCAACAATACAAAATTGGGCATGCTCTGATACCATATTAGAAAGGATATTGAGCATAACTCAACATCACAAAATCGACTTGTTAGGGGAGGATTGCTTTCACCTTATTAAGTGAATCGTGTTAATATCAGCAGCCAATGTGGGTTTCTAATCATTTGTGACTGAGGAACCATGCCACAACTTTTCCCATTGATCTTGCTCTTTCAAAGAAGCCTTATAATAAGCGCCCTTTTACATTCTCCTTAATTACCAAAGATATGGCACTTTTTTCTCTTCCAATGTATTATTCACTTTTTATCACGTTTTATTATTTACTTTTTATCTCGTCATATTTTATTTCCAATTTATTATTCATTTTTTATCCACGCATTATATAGAAATCGTTCTCTAAATTATAATTTCAGTATCCTCAAACAAGTTCAGTTTGAATTCCCCTTCTCTAAGATCAAATGAAGTATTTTCCAATATGGAGTCATCTATTTCCGTGATGATTAGAGTATATCGATTGATATGTAATTTTAAATATATGATACAATTTTATTTAAGATGACGTACCACTGAATATCACTTAAAATTTTTGCTTATTTTTAAATATCACTTTCTTTTCTTTTCTTTTCTCTCTCTCTTGCTTATTTTTGCTTCTCTTATTAAATTTATATTAGAGATGAAATATGAATTGTAGATGAATCCATTGGAGATGAGTTTTGAATTAGTTCATTCATTAGATATTAAAGCCATGTAGAATAGAAGTTATTCTATTTGAATAACGTCATTCATCCAGAGTCTAGATGATTATGAATTTATGTAGCAGTAAAGTCGTTGTCACTTTGATCAATGTCTTAAAATTCATTCAAACTTTATTGGACAATATAATTGTAACACACCGCCATTTGAACATATGATCATTTAGATTTAGTACTCCTTGAAATGCATTAGATCAGCTGATGAATTAATAATAATAAAATATTAGTGACCAATATAAAATTAAGCTAAAAATTCAACATCCTCGATTGTCTTTAACATAATACAAGAGTTTAACATAATAAATACCAAGTTTAAACCTATGCCAAACTTTCAAGTCTGAACCTCAAGAACACCCTTTTACTTTATTTTTCACAATATTCAATGCTATTCTTGTGCATAAGCAAATCCATGAAAATCCAATATCAATACGGCTTTTCTCCAATATAATTTCCAGGCGGATAATAATTACATGTCATAAATACATCTCCACTGTCACAAATAACTCGAGCACACCCAATTCTCCTCGTATTTTTCCAAACAATCTGTGTGTAATGACCACACATCTGCCCTTCTTCACAAGAATTTGTTTTATAAGTATAATATTTCTCTTCACCGGCCCAAGCACCAACGGCATCCATCGGAGTCCACGTCGACCCACTTCCCCAATATATATTCTCCCCAAGCTTGAAGTCACCTTCAGGGAAAGAGTGCATCAGTTGACAATCTTCTCTTCTCTGTCCAGCCCACCATTTTGCATAGTTTTCTAGTTTAGTGTCCCACATCAGAGGAAATTCTAGTTTTGCTGCTCTTACTAAATTGTGGTAATACAAGAATTGTATAGCCTCTCCAATGCAATTCCAGCATAGCTGCTTTGAGATTTTGTATACAGTTGCGTTATCAGGACGTTTCTCGGCGGTCACATTGGCTGGCTCCGCCAGTGTGCGGCTGGGAATGGTTGCGAGAGTTATGAGCAAAATAAGTAGTACAGTCTTCATTTTTCTAGGCTATTGCTAGAACTTTGGATGGGGTCACTGAACAATATGCCTTGGGGTATTTATATAGAAAATATAATGTTTATGAATACACTGTGTATGACACAACGCGAAATAAAGAATTTAAGCTAAAACATTAAGAATAGAAATCTGGAATCCTCAAGATAACGAAGGATAAACTCAAGAAGTTTTATTAATTCAAGGATGATCAAAAACAAAGAATTGACCATTTATTTATAAGGGTTTAAATGAAAATCAGGTCTAAACGAACTAAAATTGTAAAGATTTTGAAATACGTTTTAGATTTGGTTATTGTCCTCCAGTGCATACAACAAAAATAATTTGCTTCGAGATGATATGATTTGCAGGGTTGGAGAAAACTCGAACATGCAATTGCGTGTGAGGTGGGGCAAAATGAGATATTATCGGTCGATATTTTGTTAAGAAAAATTGGACAGAATTTTGTAATGTACAAAACAATTATTGAAAGGTCTCGTGAAGGATACCAGGGTCCATATGTTAAACCCGTGAACTGCCTTCATTTTCCTACAGTACACCATCGACACCAATGATAGGACACGTCGCAATTTAATACACCAAATCAAGGATCGTGACTAAATGTTGGCTGAGCGTGAAATTCTTTTCATATTTATCTAGCTTTGAAACAATCCAAGCAAACTATTCATCACAAATAATGCCTTTTTTTTTTTCCAATCATTACTTGTGGGTAGGCTAGAAGAAGTGAATCTGCATTGCATATCATGTTTTTAGAAGCTACTTTTTTAACTAAACTAAAAATATTTTTTTAAGAAATAAGTGAATCATTTTTTCTTACACAAAATTACTTTTTATACATTCAAGCATAGGAGTGTCAATTTTGCTCATCTACTTGGGCAACCCGTGGCTTGACCGGAAAAAGTACGGCCGACTCGAGCCGAGCCCCATTTTGGAGCATCGGGCAAGCTCGTGTCATTGGCCATTTTCGGCCCGTGACGAGCCGTGCCTAAGAACGATGCCTTTACTATTGTCTGTTATTAAAAAATAAAAATTGTGAGCTGACTCGGGTTGAGCCTAGATTTTTTGGGTTGAGCAAAGCTCGGCTTGATTCGGGCAAAAAAAGATTCGAATCATTTTTACTCCAGTCGAGCCCGAGTTTTGAGTTTCAGTTCAACTTGTTGACATCCCTATCCAAACATTCATAAAAAGTTCTTTTACAAATTTGTATGCTATTTGAATCTTAGTGCCCGTTTGACACCCGTTTTTTCACAAAAATTTTCATTTTTCTACAGTTTCTTTTTCAAAAAAGTGGGACCCATCACCCAGATCTATCATATTCCGTCAGAAATTGTCCCTTCCCACTTGCATTAAATTGGTACTTTCCAACAATTAAAATATTTGTTCCAATAATGCCCTTTCATAGTATGAATAAGTTGAAAAGGGATGAGGGTATTTGTGGAAAATTGTAATTAATTTGTCAGGGCAAAATCGGAAATAATCCTCAACGGGAAAATGGGCATTAATTTGGAATCTGACACAAAGTTTGACTCTAAACATTTTGTCCTCCTTTACTGTTGTAGAATGAGTTTTACAACCAAAAAACGGATGCCGTCTTGCACGCAAAAGGGCAATTGAACACAAAAACCTAACCCTCATTTGGATGAGGTGGTGAATAAAATGTATTATTAGTTTATGGTATTTTAAATAGCACTGACAGAAGAATTACTTTATTTCTTCCACACAAAAAAAAGACAAATATTTATATATTCTTTATCTCAATTCAATGTATTATATTGTCTTTCAAAAATGATTTGATCAGGATAAGTTTCAATAATCCAAGGATGATCATAGTTACAAGTCATGAATACACCTTTTCCATCGTCACATATCACTCGAGCACATGGGCGGACCCAGAGGGTCCTTGGGGGCACATGCTCCCCC